GACTACTCATTATGAACACCATATGCCTTATCTATGGTGTCAACCGTTCGGTCATTTTACTAACTTGAGCGTCGGAGTACCTTTGACAGGTGTCGTCCGCCCGACTTGGAGAAGGAGGAGGGAGAGCGAGCAACGTCCGTTCGGTCTTCAATGCCCATCCAGTCTTCAGTACTACCAAGAGTGTTTTAGCGAGGAACCTTCAACCCCACTAGAACACTAATCTATTTCTTTTGTCATTGCTACCTATACATCATACCCATAAATTCTTAATTAATAACAGTAGCGGTTAAAAGATAAAAGATGTTGTTACTTTTGTTCCTTTGCCTAAAATAAGATTCAATTAATTGGAAAAATACTTTTAACATTCCTTATAATATTATAATAGAAAAGCCAAAAAATTATTTTTCATATTAGTCTCATCTCCTTTCACATTAAAAAAAGTAAAAATATATTTTTTTATAATATAAGAAATTTAATTATAAGAATATATGTTTAATGAGACTCACTCACACGAGCATTGAAAGATAATATGTCTTTTATAGACTTCTAGTGACTATTACCTAAAAAGTAAATTACTACAAATCTACAAACATCTCAAGAAATAACAAATAATAATATATTAAGAGTGATGGTTGGGAATCCAAGTGTGAATCTAAGTCTCACATTAGATAAAAATGAGAAAGTAGAGCACTATATAAAGATGAAAGACCCATTAATCCATTGTCTTAATGTTTTGAGTAAAGAGTGGTGTCAATCCTTTATGTGGTTAGGCTTAGATCTCATTGATATTGTATCTCCTCGGTAAACCCCTTCCTTGATAGACCCAACAGTGGTATCAGAGCTGATGGTTTGTCTTGGTGACCGGCTCGGACGAGTATAATTGTTCCTATATCGAAAGTCTTCCTGGCAAAGGATATTCAGGTGAGCAGGTTCCATTAAGATGAACGACGGTTAGAAATGACTACTCGCGATTGTGGTTGGTTGGGAATGCTTCTATTGGAGCGGGAGTGTAATTGTACCAAGGCTTAAAGCGATGTTGAGCACTTAAGGTGATTAAAAGAAAACCCTACATGGAGGGAAACCTTTATGGCTGAGCACCAAAGTTGAGTTCAGTACCATCCTGGATAGTTTAAAAATACAAACCTTATGTCCTCATTTTAGGCATTAAGTGGAGAATTAAATATGTACTAGTAGTGTAGTAAGAATATAATGTTGGAGGCTCGAGAGAGACAATTTCATTGTAAATCTTATGTCTAGATGGTGCTGAGATTGCATTCCAATATTATGAGTAGTGGAGTTCTCTAGTGTTGAGGTTAGATGTAATCAATGCTAAATCTTTATGCTTTTATTTCTTGGATATTTATCTATGTTTTCGTTCAATTTGTTTGTGAATTAATTTATGATTGTTGTTGGATAAACGAATCACTAATCTTATTTTACTAGCTTGGGATTGAGTGAGAACTGGTTCCAAGTTGTAATCCTCGTTGGTTATAGTTGTTGGGTACAAACAAAATCCCACATCGAATAAAATAAGATATTGACATGAGTTTATATACACATAAGAAATGAGAAAGTAGAGCACTATATAAACGTGAAAGACCCATTAACCCATTGCCTTAAGGTTGATATCAGAGCTGATAGTTTCATTTGTGTAAGAAAAAAAAACAAATATAAGATTAAGAAATGATATATATATATATATATATATATATATATATATATATATATATATATGAAGGAGAGAAAGGCTTGGGCATGGGCAACGAGTGAGGAGAAAAAAGTTGTGCTCTCGTACTCTGACTGCTGTCTAGAAATCTTGTATAAAATCCGTAAGGTGAAAAAAATAGGAGAGTGAATTATTTTTATGTAGGAATAAATGTATTATCATACACTACAACAAACACATGCAACAATAGTATGGAACAAAAAATTTTGTAATGAATTTCGCTAGTGTGGTATTGACAAGCTAGCATGAGGATTTTACACATTGTCATCAGCCAATCTAAGCACCATAAGCGTTTCTCCCATCAACCGACAATGGTAAGAACAACACCACATAATTATCATGGATTATAAACAAAGAGCACACCAAAGTCCAGTCATGAACCACAAACATCTCTAATTGTCATGCACAATTTAACTTGATCATTCAATACTCACCATCAAACTACACATTGAAAAGACCAATGAAAATCACATGATCCAGCACCTAAACACATTGAACCAGATTCATGCCACACCAACTTATGAACCAGATACTCCATCACTGTGCCATGTGCATGCTAAACATCTCCCGCTTAGCATCATCCCTCTACCGTTTCAAACCTATCTACCACATTGTCACCTATAATCAAGCATCAACTTAACGTAAGGTCCCTATTCTAGTTTATTCCTTCTTCTTCTCAAAGCTGAAATCAAATTGTTTTAGTGTTTTCACTAATATGTACGTAAACATCTTTTATTGAATGTGTCGTATTCAGTTTATTGCATGTCTTTTGTTTGTGTATATGGGATGTCCTTGCGGACTATTTTTTCTGTGCAGTTCTGAATATGTTTTCGTTTTTTCAGTAAAAGTTCCGTGAATATGACTGGTAGAGCTTATGTTAATAAGTTAGTAAATATGATTAAGTAAAAAAGTTATAGAACATCTTAAATTAGGTTAAGTTGTACTCTCTACCTTTATATTAATAAGAATTAGGAAGGTGTAACTTCATATTCTGAATATTGTAGGCCAATACACATGTGAGAATGTTACGTGAATTTTCATGTCAAGATGTCACGTTATGAGCAATGTAACACAACCAAATCTATTATTATAAAATTGACAATGCACTCTACTAACTTTAGCAAAAGTGTAATAGAGAAGGGATAAAAGATGTATGAAAAGAAGAAGTGGGTTGTAATTAAGTTGGGATTAGTGAAGTAATGACGATTAATAAAGATGATTTAAGGAGATAAATGTTGAAAGAAATCCGTGAATGGTGTGGACAACCATGTTTTGAAGTACGATCACATGGAATTCTGTGATTTGCGGAGAAAATTTTGATATAGCCCTTGAATGAGGAGCGTCTTTCCATAATCACATGATCGTGTTCATAGAGAGATGTACATGACGGGCCACTTTGTTTACTTAAAAGCAAACACACTCTTATAATCACACTTGAGATACAACCCAATTTGGAGGCAAGCACGGAACTCAAACCTACGTCTCTCTCCATACTCACTAAACTTCAAATACTCAAATCAACTATTTTCAATCTTAACCAAAATACACTATTTTTCTTTTTTTTTGTTTTTCATAACAAAACCATAGAAACTGCTAGAGTATGCTCCACCAAAATACACTATTCTTGTTTTTCAATACATATATATTTCAAAATATATTTACTCCTACATTTTGTCAACTATTTCTTTTCCATGTTTCCTTCAAGATTTTCTTTTATAATTACAACATCATAACTCAGTTTTCTCTTTTCTTCTCTTTGGATACTCAATCAAGTCTTCTTTTATGTTTTGTTAGAAAACGACATGCTTGCTTTAATAAAAGAGTACCATTATTGTCATAAGAAAAACGTTATCCTTTTATTTATAATTTTTTACATGACATTTTTTATTATTAAGAACGAGGAAGAGAATAACACACTAATTGAACAGCCGACTTTGTCCTTTTCAGATGGGTGTAGGTTATTTGGTTCGATATTTTAATAAAATAGTAGAGATTTTTATTGATTTAGAGAAAAAAAAAATTGAACCAATTTTGAGAATTAAAGAAATATGAATAAAGAATAATAAATATAAGACGTGAGATGAGATAGTGTTTACAGATTATAGGAACACATCCAGATGTTCTCTAATTAACATACAGTTGTAGTTTGATATATAAAGCATGTATATTAAATGATTAAGTAATAAAATTCATATTACATCTCAGTTTAGGTTATGGAGGTAAAATTCCAATTATAGTTAATATTAATTAAAAACTTGAGGTATTCTTCTAAACTAAATTATTAATCTCTCAATTTACAAAAGATTTGTGCAAAAAAAACTATCTCTCAACAGATAATCTTTCAAACATAACTTACGAAGATTAAGCTTTTCAATATAGCATGGATCAAAGCAGGTTGAACTTGTTAGGTCAACCCACCCAATTAAACTACAACAAATGGTGAAATGTACTAAATAACTTAATCTACGAATACACCTAACCCGTCAATTTTTTTATATTTTTTCAGTTTCAGATTTGTTAAATATTATTTTGAACTCAAGAGGATTGTGGTTCCAATATTGAGTAAATCATATATGTGGTTCTTTGAATGAAATTGATTTACAATAGTCGATAATTAATGATATGATTTTTTAGACAGATTTTGATAAGTTAAATAGTCAACCCAACATTTTACCATTTGACAGACCCAAAACAAATCATTTCTGAATGGGGTAGATTATATTTGATAACATGTTTCTCCTCGACCAATTAAAAAAAAAAGTTAAAACTGGGTTTAATATGCGTTCTTACTCCTAACACAGTTATCGGTCAATTTCTTCCTTCTTCACTCCATTTGTAATAACTTAGGTGTTTTAACATTTTAATTGTTTCAAAACTTTGATGGATGTATAGAATTCGAAGACATAAGATTGCATTTTTCTTCCAACTATATCTTGGAGTAGTTAAGATAATAAAGTAATGACTTTAATTTTCACAGTAGAATATTAATACCACGTCTCAGTGATAAGCAATCTCATGAAAGATCTTAAGCATGAGCATCGTTACAAATCGGGGTAAGCTATAAAAAGATTAGATAAAAAATAGCACAGAATTAGTAAGCAGACAAAAAAAAGTTTTGGATGTAAGTAAGAAGAAATGTATAAAATGAGAGTAGAAAATAATGAGAGTTTGCGAATAGGAGAATTGATCTTGATCAGTGTTAATTTAATTAACAATTATCTAATCTAAATTTGAAACTACTAAGGATAGTCCAGTGCTTTCAATCAATGTTTTCTTGACATCCAACATAGCTGTCTACGTTATTGTACTCTCTCTATCTATCTGCTGTCCCCATGGTCCTCTCTTCCTTCATTATATCTCTCTCATCACTCTCTCCTCTCACTCAAAACCTCCCTCGTATCCAACACTCTTCTCTCCTTCCTCCTACTCCTATATATCCCCTTTCCCCTTCTTCCACTAACTCCATGTGTTTTATTTCCCACTTCCCAAACCAAAACCATTCATTCTTTGCTTTCCTTCTGCTTCCATATTACCAGGTAAAACTTATCATACACATACATAACCCCACACATACCTCTGCTTATATATAGCAGCAAAACTAGCATAGCTTAGCTTGCACTTTCAACAATTACACACAAGTACACCAACCTCCACCTAGCAACCTAGTAACATGTCTAGCCAAAGATCCAGACAACATTCAGGGTCTACAAGGATCTCCGATGACCAAATCATCGAGCTTGTTTCCAAATTGCGCCAACTTGTTCCTGAGATTCGCAGTAGGCGATCTGACAAGGTACAGAACTCAATCTCTCACCTTACTCACAAATGTAATGTAATGCGTGTCTAGAAATAAAAAAAAATAAAAAAATTACTTTTGAAGTGTGAAAGTTCTATATACAGTATCATTTAACCTCGCAGTAAAAATGATGAAAAACCACATCTAGAGAGAGAATTACAGGATCATTTAAAAGTATTCATACTAACACATAATTACTGGGAGTTTTTAATCTTTAAACTCTTTTGTTGAGAAAATTGAAGGGGTTCCTTGGCATGTGCATCTAACTTAGACTGAAGCTTCTCCTGGCTCATATAAAACCCAACTGTTTCAACCTCACGCTTCCTGATAGAGATATATATCTCTTATACAAACACAGAAACAGCTTGCTTCTTTGTTTCTGTATATGTGAAGTGATAGAGTAGGATTATGCTACCGATCATAGTGGCATGTCTCCTGCTGAACATGTCAATCGTATTATAATAAAGGAGGAGTCATGGATAGTCATAATTTGACCCGCATATTGAGGGCCAAGTTCCAAACAATTCCAAAATCTATACAGATCCCTCAGACTTTAAAGCCTTCTCATTGACTCTATAAAATTATATTTGCAAAGATAACGTATTTAAATATACATATGCATATACATATACATATACATATATATATATATATATATATATATATATATATATTATAATATTTGTTATTGCATACATTTCTTGGTCCATTTTACTGATTTTACTTGATGCGCTATAGTTACATGTGTATTTCTGAAACAGTGTTACTTTATAATTCATAAAAGATGCGAGCAGACAATATTTTTCAAAAGATATTACATCTATTTTTTAAAAGAGTTAATCGTGTTTGAACATGATATAATTACTGAATAATGTTTTTTAAATATTTAACTTATACTGTACATTTAACTTATACTGTACATTTAACATTTAAATCAAATGACAATCTAGCACAGTTACATGTTGAAAACGAAGAACAAGAAAGCTTACGCCAAAACAACTCTGGCAGTAACAGCAGTATATACAAGTAATGCAGAAGCCCAGAAGTAGAAAAAAACCATAAAAAACGAGGAGAGTAGTCAAGTGGTTAATTTTGACCAACTCATGCATGAAACGAATCTTTCCGTATGTAGTGATTGGATCATATAGTAATAACAATTTGGTCAGATAGCATGTGTTGGAGTCTAATCTGTTTGTTCCTGCTCATTCAACGGAAGCGGTTTAAATTTCATGCAAAGTACGGCATGTGTGAGTGTGTGTGAGATAAAGAAAGTGACTCGTAGGTAACCAAGATACTGACTTTTTTACAATGCAGGTTTCAGCGTCGAAGGTCCTACAAGAAACCTGCAACTACATCAGAAGCTTGCACAGAGAGGTGAGTGACTTGAGTGAGCGACTGTCTCAGTTGTTGACCACAATTGATGCTGATAGTGCTGAAGCGGGAATCATTAGGAGCCTACTTAATCAATAAGCCATGAGTGTTATGATTTTTTCATTCAAAGAGTGCTAATTATTATAAGAGTGTACTTCATTCTAGGTGTGCTGAGAGAGAGCCTGGGAGCTATACTGTACCTCCCATATGGCAGGTAGGACATTTCATAACCAGATGTTTTCTCTTTTGCCAATAAATTTTAAGTGCTTGTACCAGCTACATATATGTATGTGCCTCTTTTTATGGATGGCCAAAATGTAGCACTCCTTAAATTTATTAAACTTCTTACTACTTATGTACTTTAATTTATACTGCTTTACTCACCTAGAACTTAGAAGAAGTCAGATAGTAAGAGATGCATATTTGATACAGAAATATATATATATATATATATATATATATATATATATATATATATATATATATTATATTTAATGTTTGTTTATTGTGCTTGAATCTTATTGGTAAAGTATGAACTCGTGCTAAACACTACTACTGAGTATAACGGAAAGTTTGGTTATGTGGATAAAATTGTTAGTTAATGGAGGTTGTAACATGAACATTATGCAGACCGGTTTTAATTACATGGGATTGTGTCGGTAAAGTTGGGTTCAAGTTTCTATAATAAGAGCTGAAAGTAATTGACGTGAGTGAGAGGTTTGGTCTAATTGGACGGTTGGTTAAATAATATAGAAATCCACACTTTTAGACTTTTAGTGTTTGGAAAGAGACTTAATTTGAGACAAATACCCTCAGAAAGTGTCCTCGTTTACAAGTGAAAAGTGAAAGAGTTTGGAATGTAGCGGATATTCAATGAAGCGTGCTCGATTTTCTTGTGCTCGAGCCATTTTCTTAACTATAGTTTTGTTTTTTTTTTCGTTTTGTTTGATGTTGTTTTTCTTGTCATAGCGTGATTGTGGGAAGGCAACAGTGTATGAGAGTGAAATGAATATTACCGTTAGCAAAGGATTCAGAATATGTACACATCTTGAAAATAGGATTGAAAAAGATTGAGATAAAACTAATAAACATAAGTAATAATGCTATGAAAAATGTAAGGTGAAAACGACAACTCAAATATCGAAAAATGAGGCTGTTGGAAGACTACGTTTCCTCTTAATGTTTTGGATTTAAATCCTATTGTCCAATCAACGTTATTAAAAGCAAAACAATACAATGCAATAAATTTCGAATGCTATAGAAAAATGACTAAAATATGTCCACCATTCTACTCAACTGAATGTTGCTTACACGACATTGAAGTCTTCTTTGTCGATGTCTTTGCGCTTCTTAATGAGATTCTTTCACTCTTAGGTTCTAAATAGAAATTGGGAATTTAAATATCAAATCTTCTAAGTGTTTTGATGCACACAAAATTTTAATTTTCAGTCAATTACATGTGTATGAGCCAAAACTTTAGTTATTTATAATGTAATTGAAATCTCAATTTATAAATAGGAGTATATACAACGAATTTTTAGTAGTTTCTCATAACCAAATGAAATAAAAGAAATAAATTTCTAATTTGAATAAATATAATGCTTGTAAGCAAATATTTAAGTATTCGACTTAACCTTGTGTAATTCGAATTGCAATGACCAAATTGAATTGACAAGACTTTTCTTTTTTTTACCAAAACTGGTATAGACAAAAGTATGTGTAAAAATTAAATAACTTGACGAGGTCATTGTTCTTGCATATATCATCTTTTATAAAGAAAAAGTCAAACTTAAGAAGAAAAATAGCCGATATGAAAATGAATCATGCAAATTAACAAGAAAACAAAATAAGAAAGCAAACAGATGAAGTTTGAATATTAAAAGAGATATAAATATATAGAAAAAATTATATGTAAATTGAGAAACTTAAATAAATCAAACGAATAAAGGGAAGCATAAATGCGTCCAAAAACCAAATGCATTGAATTTAAAGAAAATAAAACAACTAAAAAAAGGAGAACTTTGTTTTTGAAAGGCAAAATAAAGAAGAAATTAAAAGAAAAATGAATAAATCAATATTCTTTTGCTATTTGTCTCAATTTTGCATGTTGAAAGTAATCAACGTTAATCAACTTCCTTTGTTATTCAAATCCAACGTCAAAACTCCTCATCACCTAACAGTTAGAACTGTTTTGAAATTATACTTCTTTGAACCTTGAATCTCGACTTGATTCTTTAACTATTTGGATCGACACTTCAATTTGAAATAACTTGAAGAAATCAAAATAAGCCAGACAAATAAATATATATATATATATATATATATATATATAACCATAGTTTATGTTGTAAAAAATACTAAAAAAGAAATTGAATAGAAGTATTTGGCATGCACGATATGTAGAAAAAAAAAGGAAGAATGGTTTGTACCAATTAAAAATTACATAAAAAAAAATACAGTAAGCATTCTTTTAAGGGTGTAATTCCATGACGACAATTAGCAAGAAACAATTCTGTCATTTCTGACCTAATCTTTTATATTTATGAATGAAAAATGTCAGAATCCCGACCACGCTTCCTAACATTCATCTTCATCACACTGCACCAGCCAATGCCATGTTCTTCTCGATTACAACATCACCAATTAGTTATCATGTTCGGTTCCATTAATTAACTTCACATTTCTTCGTTTCATCCCTATTCTCACCGACACGACCAAGCTAACTTGGCCACCACCACCTTCCACCACGACAGATTTTTTAAGATTTTCGACATTCTGATGTCCGATCATATATGTATTCGTACCCTTTCTTTTTTTGTTTACAGCACAATTATTGTCACGGATCCAACTCGGTGAAGTTAAGTTTTGATCTCCCAAAATATCATCCCAATTTCAATTCTCTTCAACTTTTTCTGACCATTCTTCTTTCGCACCTTGTTATAAGCTTGCCATCACCTGAGTGCACCACTCCCTTTAAGAAAAACCAGCAATCCCTTCAATCAACCCACTGATTACCTAATTATTTTTTCTTCTAAAAGGTATTAACGTAAATAACGATCAAATATGTAGTTAGTTCCACTACTTTCTTGTCATGTAACGATTAGTTTTTAAGATTTCTCTTCGTTGATGTGTACTTTGTTTGTCTTCATCATATATCATACACATAATTTTTTAATATATAAGAAACCTGTATGTATATACTGTCGGTGCCACATTTTTTGTGTAACTTGTCGTCATACTAATAAAGTAAACTCACATATAATTAAGTTTAATTTCTGCAAATATTATATTAATAAAAACCAGTCAACCACCTTATACACATTTCTTTTTTGCGGTGTACATCGTGTTATGAGACTTCAATGTAACAACTTGGAGCAAAAATATTATCATCGTTTTCTTTTCATCACCAATGTTATTACCATCATTTGATGATTATGGCCAAATTTTGTATGTTTCAAAGATGAGAAACATCTATTATTAACATATTTTAAAGATGGCAATTATACACAGACACACGAATATATATATATATATATATATATATATATATATATATATATATATATATATATATATATATATATATTAAATTTGTT